ATGCACACAAACACATGTATGCCTCCTTTGTAGTCTGTTAACCACTAGGACATTTCGTTTAACATACATGTTCAAAGGGAGGAAGAGGGAAGAAGAGAGAGGAGAGAAGAGGAACAAATTTAAAATGATAGCCAAAACTTTTAAAAGAGCTCTTTGGTCACCTTTGGAGGATTTTAGGGAATGAACTCAATCTGAAAATCAGTAAATAAGGTAAATACAGCATTTGTTCTGCTTTCCTATATACTGTACTGCATAATAAAAGACTTAATAACAGAAAGTTCCTCTTTATAGAAGTCCAAGTAATAAATAAGGAATGATAAAATTCAAAAAACACTATCTTGCAACCCCTAATAAAGTAACGGATCTAAGCAGTAATCATGAGTGGCTGCTAAAACCATTAGGTAAAAGGTTGTCAGGGAACTTTACACTAGGCAGTTTAGTGACAATATTCAGTGGACAATATATAAACCCAGGGATCAATCTTAACACTACTGAGAGAGACAATGAGGCATTATGTGCCTCGTGATATAATGCAAAAAGATGCACAATTTTTTATATTCTTTCAAAAAAATTTAAACCCAACTCTGAACAAACCTCTGGATTTAACTACCAACTCATAAGAAATAAAGGGGACAGAGTAACATGTTAAATGATACCACAGAGATGCAGTAAGCAAAATTCAAAATATGAAAAATTATGCAGGACAGCCAGTATATTCGAGAAATAAATTATAAGGGAGGAAGGAAAAAAAGGACAGAGAAAGGTAAGTACAGATTAAAAGTGACTTAAGGAACATACCAATAAAATACAATATATGGACCTTGATTAGATATTGATTCATGCAAATCAGCTGTACAAAAAAAAAATGCTTTATGAGATGATACAGTCTACTACACACCTAGATTATATGGTACAGTCAATTGTTCCTAGGCTAAAACCTGTACAGCATGTTACTACTCTACAGAATACTCTACTCAACTATAACACAATGGTAAGTCATTGTGCATTCAAATCTACCTAAACACAGAAAAGGCACAGTATTACAGTATTATACTACACAGTATTATAATCTTATGGGACCACCATCATATATGCAGTCTGTCTATGACCAGAACATAATTTTTGGCACTCTGTATTCTAGGTTTACATGTATTTTTAAATGCCCATTAAAAGTTTGGGAAAGAGGCGGGCACAGTAGCTCAAGTCTGTAATCCCAGCACTTTAGGAGGCCAACGCAGGTGGTCACTTGAGATCAGGAGTTCAAGACCAGCCTGGCCAACGTGGTGAAAGCCCATCTCCACTAAAAATACAAAAATTAGCCAGGTGTGGTAGTGCACACCTATAATCCCAGCTATTCAGGAGCTGGGCAGGAAAATCGCTTGATCCCAGGAGGTGAAAGCTGCAGTGAGTCCACATCGTGCCACTGCACTCCAGCCCAGGTGACAAAGTGAGTAAGACTCCATTTCAAAACAAAAAGTTTGGGAAAAGAACTGTCCGTTGTAGACATATTAACTCCTGAGGCAGTCTTATTTAACATACTGACTGAGCCCCACCAACACATAAGGCACCATTCTAGGTGCTAGAGACATTGTACATTAAGGAGAGACAAGGCTTTTAAAATTCCTACAACATAGCAACTGACAAATGACAGTGAATTATTACATAACTGCTAATACAGAAGAAGTAATTAGAAATACGTAAATCCAGAAATTAGCTAATAATAGTTGACAAATATGAACATAAACAGCAAGCAAATTATGTATTTAATGGGTTTTTCTGGATGGGGTTTTTGTTTTTTGGTTTTGTTTTTTATTTTTAGGTAGTCATCTCTCATTCTTTCCTCTTCTAATCCATGGCTTTCCAATATTACCAAAGGGGTAAGTCAAAGTAAACATATTATCTACTTGCTTCCCCCGTTCCACACAAACGCTGACTTTGTGTTGCTTGGCAATATTTGGTTTCCTTTTGTTTCAAGAAAGCTTAAAATCCAAATTGTTACAAATACATTTGGCCATTCCCCTCTTTTTTATTTAACTTTCTACTATACCATAATAACATGCAGCATTTGAGTAAAGTTAAAAAAAAATCTGAACAAAGCAAGAAAAAAATTAAAAGCAACAGCTTAAGAACTTTTCAAGCACCCATGGATATTTAGAAAAAAATGGCCCTCTATAAAAACATAAGTAATGATAAGCCACGCAATTTAAAACTGATATACTGTCCTACCCCAATAAATATTGTTCATTTCCTACAATTAGAAACTAAGTGACAAGAAATTATAGACTTCTTTTAATACTTAGTTTAAAATCCCACATTGAATATAAATATCAATACCTACTTAAACACATACATGTATACGCAATGACTTAAAACATTTCAAATACAACTATATGTATAGTTGTCCTTTATTACTTTTTGCAAATTTATATTTTTAAAGGCTCTTTTAAACTGTTAAAACACTAAAATTCTCAACTAATATTTTCTAATAACTGAGCACTGAATAGGTAACACAAAAAGTACCTATGATAGGTGTGTTGTATAGAAACATTTACAAATATTACTTGTAAGATAAGCTATTCCACTTCAAGAAAAAAGAAGACACCAGTCACCAGTTTGTAGGTCACAAAAGAGAGGAGCAAGTAACATTTCAGGATTAGACCAAAAAAAAAAAATAGAAATATAATTTTGATCACATCACCTTGTTCCCCATGGAGGACTTTCAAGTTTAAAACAGCATAAGGGGAAAGAACACACAGAGCAGCTGTAAACTACTTATAAACTTATATTGGGAGGCAGGATTAAATATACAGTATCTTGTTGGAGGATAACTATGTCAGGTGTTATTCCATTCAATGTATTCTCTTCTGATCTGGGGAACATTTACTACAGGTTGAGTAGTACTAACACAAAAATTCAAAATCCAAAATGCTCCAAAATCTGAAACTTTTTGAGCAACATGATGCTCAAAGGAAATGCTCACTGGAACATCTTGAATTCTGAATAAGGGATGCTGAACCAGTAAGCATAATCCAAACAATCCAAAACCCCAAACACTTCTGGTCCCATGCATTTCAGATAAGCGATACTCAACCTGTAGCCATTTAAAAGAAAAAGCTGCTGAAATATTTAATACCAGGTGCTTATAAACAAAAAAAAAATTACTGAGACCCAAACATGAAGAAGCACATAGCCTTAAGTAAGAAAAGGGACCAGAATTCTGTTCCCCTGATTTCTAGCCCTGCATTCTTCTCATTACACAGCACTCTCTTCTCTTTCAATGATTTTTTTTTTTTTTTTTTTTTTTTTTTGAGTTAGAGTTTCACTCTTGTTGCCCAGGCTGGAGTGCAATGGCACAATCTGGGCTCACCACAACCTCCATCTCCTGGGTTTAAGCTATTCTCCTGCCTCAGCCCCCCGAGTAGCTGGGATTTACAGGCATACACCACCACCACGCCCTGCTAATTTTGTATTTTTAGTAGAGATGGGGTTTCTCCATGTTGGTCAGACTGGTCTCATACTACCGACCTCAGGTGATCCAAACCTCCCAAAGTGCTGGGATTACGGGCGTGAGCAACCACGCCCAGCCTCAATAATGTCTTAATCAGACCATTCTTTTTTTTTTCCTTTGTACAAGATTTTATTAAAGGCCTTTTCAGAGCAACATCCAGACTCCAGAATACAGCTGCCAAGGAGGCCCTGTTACGCTGTGGAGACTGGCTGGTGCATGGCAGGCAGCTCTAGCTTCCCACCCTTCTGTTCTGAGATGGGGGAAGTGAGCAGTATCTCATCTTTGGGTTCCACGATGCTCACATGGTCAGGCAGGGGCTTCTTAGGGCCAATCTTACCAGTTGGGAATCAGACCATTCTTAAAACAAGCTGCCTTTACAGAAGACACTGGGCAGACAGGTCAGATACGCACATCCCAATCAGCTTGTCCAATGACCCCATTAGAACTTGGGGTAGAGCCGCTACCCCAATGTCACACGTTTCCAGGATATGTAACGTCTAAAAGAAACCACATCTTTTCATTCCCAATCCCATATGCTTTCCTTCGTAGAAAAAGTTCTGTCCAAAACCTAAATCTTCAGGTCAATGTGTTCTCTTCACCGACACCAAAGCCTAATCTTTCCCTTAAGATTTTATCCCTAAGAATTCCACGCCAATCTTTATTTTCCAGGCCCATGGTACCCTGTGTAGTTCCATCAATCTAAGACCAAATCTGTGAAATTAGCATATTCCAAGTCCATTTCATAAAGTCATCTTTCTCAACTGTTAAGTACCCTAAGAAGTACCCTGTTTGCCTAAACTTCACATCCAGATCATTAATACCAATGAGTGTGAATTCAAAGAAAAGCATATTAAACATCCATTAAATCTATTATGTTGTTTTTAGAAGCTTTTTCAGGTACCTTTTTAATCATTAAATTTCCTTTATATTCTAACATAATCTAGACTCTAATCAAGAGACTTTGAGAGTAAATTCTGTCATACAAATACTTTACATATAGACATAACACACCATACAAAATATATTCCTCTCTAAAATAATGAGAAATGTTCTTTGGTTTTTCTATTTTTCCTAATATACTCTCTTTCGACTATATTCAATCCTTAAAATAACATTAAGGAAATCCATTATAAATGAACTTAAAGCAAACTCAAAGGGCCACACCACCAAATCAGCAAATCTCTAATAGCATTTGCTCCAAGAACTATCACAGAATAGAAATTAAAAAAAAAAAAAAAGACCTGCAAAAAAAGTACCATATTATAAATGTGGTACACTTCAGAATACAAATTATGTTAATATACTTTCCTAAGTTTAAAATACACCACGGGTTACTAAAAACAATTAAATTACAACCAAGCAATAATTTCAAATAGCAAAATAGTAATCTCTTTATTGAATGCCAATTATTCATTTCTGCCAACAATTGTCCTGCAGGAGTCATAAATAAATGGGAACAGTATCTACCTAAAAAATGTTCCGAGAAACTTACCATCATTTTGGCTCTTGCCCTTCACCTCCTCCTTCCATGACAGAATGATGTTCAGGGGAACATAGTCTCTTAGGTATTCTTTGCGCCTCTCCTCTACGGTCATCTTCAGTAAACGTTCTTGCAAAATAAAAGCAGAATCTCCATTTGTATTTAATGTTTAAACATGGGAATTACTTTTATACTTTTAAGTATTAACCAAGTTAAACTAACAAAAGACTTGATACAGTTCTAAAGAACACAATGCAAATCCAGTGACTCTATATTTAAGTGTTAAAAAATGTTAAATTTCATATTACCAGGGGAAAAAAAATCAAAGCCTGATGAACATTCTCTTGTGATAGTCCAAGAAATAACTCATTTGCGCTTTCAATCAACATCTACAGTCTACTATGTGCCCGGTGACATGCTGGATAAGTGATATGGTTTGGATATATATCCCCTAAAATCTTATGTTGAAATGTAATCCCCAATGTTGGATGTGGTATCTGGTGGGAGGTCACTGAGTCATGGGGACAGATCCCTTATGATTTGGTGCTGTCCTCAAGGTAGTGAGTGTTCGTGAGCTCTGGCTGTTTAAAAGTGTGTGGCACCTCCCCCCGACCCTCTCTTGCTACTGTTCTTGCTATGTGAAGTGCCTGCTCCTGCTTCCTCTTCTCCCGTAAGTAAAAGTTCCCTGAGGCCTCCCAGAAAACCTAACAGATGCCAATGCTATCCTTGTATTGCCTGCAGAACTGTAAGCCTATTAAACGTATTTTTTTAAGAAATTGCTCTGTCTTAGGTATTTCTTCATAGCAACTGCAAGAACAGCCTAATGCAGTAAGATACAAAATATTATCTGTATAAATAAAATGCTAAGACAGGTATATACAAATAGTAAGAGCACAAAAAAGGCAACCACCAAGATAATTCCTCAACTGTACCCTCAATTTTCTTACAGCTTTGTGTAGCTGATATAAGAATCATTTTAAATATATATATGTATCTTGATTATAAAATAAAAATATTTTACAAATTGCATCTGAGAATTAATTACAGTCGATGCCATTTATAAAGAACTCACTATGTGCCAGGTACTTCACATGTAAATCTCATTAAAATAATCTTCCTAATAACTCATAAAATTGATGGTATTATTATCCCAATTCTGCAGATAGGGAAATGAAGCACAGCAAAGTAATTTGCCCAAAGCAAGAGAGTTTTCAGGAAGCGAAAATTAAAATTCAGACAGACATCTCCATCAGTCAAAGACTACACCCTATGTTATTTATTCCACTGTACTACACTACATTCTCAGGAAAACGCCCCCAAAAAGGTAATATGTATGCTGATTCATGGAAAACAGGAAGAGTGTTGCATGAAGAAGTAAAAAGAACATTTCAGACTAACAAAACAATGTAAACAAAGGAAATATGAATACTATAACTAAATGAAGCTGCAAGATATGGTATGAGAAGAGAAATGGCCACAGAAGTGACAAGTATCCAGAACAAAGTAAAACAAAACTGCACAGGGATTTGTACGCCATAGGAAGCAGTTTAACCTTTATCCTATAGACCACTAATATTGAAAGTTGATGATGCATATCCCAGATGGTATATAAAACAACCCACTAGGACACAGGAAAACACATAAAAAGTTCTATTTACATTTGTTTTTAAGCTAAACAAGGAAGAAATATTTACCAATATCATGTATAAACTGACACTGACATTCTCACTCTGTATGTCAGTTGTCATGTCTCACATACTGTACCAGTGGTCTCCACAATGCAGAGAGAGACAGTTATTTATCATACTCTCCAATTCTCTTTTAGTGTATCACAAGGTACTGCAATTTAGGTAAATGGATTTAGGGATAGTTAGTATCTAGTTTAAGGTAATTGAACCTTACAAAATAACCACTTTAAAACATTATTTCACTGAAATAAACTGCAAAAGTATTAACGTAAGCACAAGTGAAAATGGGGAACCAATATTTTTCCCACTCCTGTAACTAAAATTTCAGCCACATTAGGAGACCAAAAATAAAGATATCCTTTTTTTTTTTTTTTTTTTTTTTTTTTTTTTTTTGAGAGAGTCTCACTCTGTCGCCCAGGCTGGAGTGCAGTGGCATGATCTCGGCTCACTGCAACCCCTGCCTCCCAGGTTCAAGCAATTCTCCTGCTTCAGCTTCCTGAATAGCTGGGACTACACGCGCTTGCCACCAGGCCCAGCTAATTTTTGTATTTTTTAGTAGAAATGGGGTTTCATCATATTGGATAGGATGGTTTCAAACTCCTGACCTCATGATCCACCCTCCTCGGCCACCCAAAGTACTGGGATTACAAGCATGAGACAATGCAACTGGTCAAAATAAGATATCTTAATCAGAGGCGACATATTCACAAAAATTGAGTTTAAAGTACCTATGGGACACTCAAGAAGTTGAAATCAAGAATCCGGAAATTTGAAGAGCGGTCTAGCCTAGAGATTTTAGAAATTATAACCTAACCTTCTAGTCCTAAATTAAAAAGAAGAGGGAACGGAAGGGAGCATCAAACCTCAAAACACAGTATTTAGGAAGTGGGCACAAACAGGAAAACAATACAATAAATCTTAGTTGTCACCAGGGGTACAAGCTCCTAGTAACGTGAAAACATTGAGGAAACAGTTGTAATCAAAATTCTAGAAAAAGGGAAATACCGTCAACTGCTAAAGGAAGGTCAGAGAAAGTGAAAATTACTTAGCCATTAACCTGCTATTATCAATGTGGTTACCAACAGCATGGAAAAGAGGAAATGTGGTTAACAGAGAGCCCTGTTTGGGTTCTAATGTAAATCGTGCAAATCTGTGTGATCTTGGGTAAGTTACTTAACCTCTTTATGTTTCAGTTTCCCTTTGAGGTAAGTAGGTAAGTATCATTCCCAACTTAAAGATAACTAAAAACAATGTCAAATAACTTACCTAATATCCCACAGCTAGTTAAGCAGTTTAAGTAGGATTCAAATCCAGGCAACTGGTATTTAAGGCTCTTAACCTCACAATATTCTACCTTATACAGTTTCCTACCTCATAGGGTTGTTGTGAGAATTAAATAAGATAATCCATGTAAACTACTAAGACTAGCACTGAGCATATAAATGGGGCTTAAATATTAACTATTCTTTTTTTTTTTTTTTTTTTTTGAGTCGGAGTTTTGCTCTTGTTACCCAGGCTGGAGTGCAATGCCGCGATCTCGGCTCACCGCAACCTCCGCCTTCCAGGTTCAGGCAATTCTCCTGTCTCAGCCTCCTGAGTAGCTGGGATTACAGGCACGCGCCACCAGGCCCAGCTGATTTTTTGTATTTTTAGTAGAGACAGGGTTTCACCATGTTGACCAGGATGGTCTCGATCTGTTGACTTCGTGATCCACCCGCCTCGGCCTCCCAAAGTGCTGGGATTACAGGCGTGAGCCACCGCGCCCGGCCATATTAACTATTCTTATATGAACACTATCATGATTGTTACTACTGAATGACTTCAGAAACATTACTTTCATTACAATGTAATGGAAATCCAGGAGACTATGAAGGACTGAGCAAAAGAAGTAAAGTGAGAACAGCAACTCCAGGGTGAAGCCCTATGAAAGAAAAGCGACTCTAGGCCAGGTGCAGTGGCTCACGCCTGTAATCCAAGCACTTTGGAGACCAAGGCGGGTGGATCACCTGAGGTAGGGAGTTCAAGACCAGCCTGACCAACATGGTGAAATCCCGTCTTTAAAAAACAATAAAGAAAGAAAGAAAGAAAAGCGACTCTAAGGTAGAAGAGATCCAAGCACTGTTACAGGCAATAGAGAAGAACCTGAAGACACCAAGAAATTAAACATACCCAAGAGAGAATACATGATGATGTAAGAACTCAAATACAAGATAGGGGATAAAGAGCACAAGCAGAAAGGTTAATTTTACACACAGGAAGAAAAGTGCTTCCTCTAAGAACAAAGCCAAAAGGACATGTAAAGGAACAGACCAATGAGACTACAGAAGAGGATGTTAGGGCTGTTCACATTACATGGCATTTATTTTCTCTTTGAATTAAAAAGACAACGTCAACTGTTTGGTATGGGGGATAGGGTCTTGGGAGAATAAGAAACTTAAGAGAATGGTTAATTTAGGATTATCACATAAAGACAGAAAAAGAGAGATGACTAGCAGTATGCCAAAGCAGTACTAAAAAAGCTCAGATCACAAACAAAAAATTATTACAATATTACTGGGCAGGTGAAAAGACATTATGAAGCAACTTACAGTTTCTGTAAATGTCAAAAAGTACATACAGAAATGCAACTGGGCCTCTGTTGCTCCATTTATTTAAAAGTTGAAGTGTGAACACTTAACAACAAAAACGAGATCAATTTAAGACAAAACAATGAAGTAAGTTGCAAGACTTGAAAATGCACATTAAGTGGTTCTGAACTAGGACTCAAAATACTAGATCAAAAATGTTTATTTAAACATATGTGATCTTCGGAGCTCCTTAATTACTTGTTTAAACAATGAAACATACTGAAGGCCACAAATACATATGCAGTTTTTTGTCATTTCATAAAACTTTTCTTTAAAGAATGCTTCACCTTTACAATGAATCCTTTCTCTGTGAACCAAGCACATAAGTAGGCAGACCTACTTATTAAATGGTATACTGAGTTAAAAATATGTTTATAGAATGCCTTGACATTTCAATGAGGTAAGTAAGCCTTCCTTTAGCTTAAAAGGACAGCTGCAAAAATACTATATCCAGCTCCCCAGTGGGATGAAAGGAAAAAGGTCATGCATCCCATTAGCTTCTCTAATACTGTGGTACTAGAAATCCTTAGCTCCTCCTTGGGGGTATAATATATATTTTACATTTAAATATTCAAAACATAGACATCCTGAAAAAAAACACTGAGACATGCATTAAATTCTTCAAATCACCGTCATCTTTTCTTTTAACGTTAAATTTCATGCCAAAATAACTTAGTTTTAGATAATTGCTTTGTTAACTGCCTTATTTAATTGTCCATTTGCTTACTTAGAAAAAAATTGGTTATATATTCTCCATTATTAAAAGAAATAGAAGAAAATAAATCAAGACATTAAAAAAGATTCTTAAATGCCTGCTGGTCACAGTCCAACTGTGTAGATGCTAAATGAAGGAAACATTATAACGGTATTATTACTTGAGGAACATTGTTTCTCTATCACCACAGAAAAATAGTTCTTAAGTACTCACTATAATTTCATCAATGATTCATGTTAGTGAAAACAAGTTATGTCTTCCACTGTTTTTGCCCTCATGATCATGAATAATGCAAAGCTAACATTTCAACATCATCAATAAATATGGGCATAAATGATTTTTCAATGCTCACAAGGTAAATCCTTATTGAACGTGTGTTGAAACTAAAGTAACTACTACTGAAAAAACGAAGCAAAATTATTTTACACTACTATATCAGGCTATTATTCTCTACAGCATTTGTTTTATGACACCAGAAGTGTTAGCTCTCTATATGCCCATAATTATTAAAACATAATGAAATGATTAAACTTTCAGTATTTTTAAAGACCATTTTAATTATGTTGTTCAGTTATGTTAACTCTTCCTGCAGTAAATTTGAAAAAAATCCCTTCTTCATGCCTTTGTTCATGCAATGTGGAAGCAGATCAAGGATTCCTTTTACACATTAATTCCCTTTCTTACCTCCGCTGTTGGGCTTTCATGTTCACAAAGGCCACGACTTGCAATAAAAATCTACAGATCTGAACGAAATATTAACAAGGAAATCAATTTTCTACCTAGTCACCCTATATCCTTCTGTAAAGATGAGGTACCCAGGAGAAATGTGTACTACTACCCTCAACAGACCTCACCCTTGCCATACAGGTTTTAATGTATTTCAGCAATAGGAGTGTAAGAAGTTTTTGCTACATTTCTGTAAATAGCTAAAGAATGAAAAGGAAAGGATGTGAAAAGGAGGGTGAAAAAACGCCAGAGACACTCCAGTTAGAATATTATCTAACTGTGATAGGGCAAGGGAGAGATCTTGAGGGGAGAGGCTGGATCGCACACTTCAGTTTCTTAAAGAAGCAGAGCCACTGTCAATCTAGCGGATTTGGATAAACCTTCATATGCACAAAATTCAGAGATGGGTTCATTCAGAGTGACATTAGTCACACAATCTTACTCCGAGCAACTTCAGCCCATGAATGGGGATGGAATACAGAGAAACACACTGTTAGGAGAAAAGCTCATTCAGACTTCTCTCAAGGCACTTATCCTTACGGACAACACGCTTGTTTTAGGGCTACCCTAGAGTTCCAGGTTTCAAAAAGTCATGCAACGGCGTTGAAGGAGGGAGACCCAGAAAAGGGGTAAACACCCGATGGTAAGGACACTTTGCCATTTGAGGGTTGGGGGGACAGGGGCGAGGAGGAAAGGAATGAGGGTGCAGGGAGGGGGGCTCAGAGGCACAGCGGCAGCTGCAGCCTGAGCGCCCGCCGGCGGGCACGTGTCCGCGGGACACCCGGACCGACAGTACCCAAGTCCCAGCTGCGAAGCACAGGAACTTGTGCCGCCCCAGGACTGCCCACCTGGGGTCCCCGCTGCGAGCAAGGCGAACGCAGCAGCGCCTCGGGAGGAGGTGACCGAGCACCGAGGGCGGCACAGAGGGGCGTGCGCCCACACGTGCGCGAGCTGCAGGTACCCGGGGGCGGCGCGTGCACGCCGGAGTGCGCGCGCGTGTGCGCGTGTGTACACACGGACACGGGAGGGAGGCGGCACCGGCCGGGAGGGCGCGTGGCGGGAGCTCGGGCGGAGGGCGCCGCGGCACACACACAGCCTGACCCCCGCCCCCACCCCAACCCCCACCGTCCGCACCCCCAGAACTCGACGGGCCAGTTACCTTTCTCCTCTCTCCACACCTTTTTCTTCTTGTTGCTGGGGTACATGTTGCCGTGGGGGTGGCTGGCTTTAAGCTGCAAGTTCCCCAGGCTCACGGGCAAACAGGGTGTGTGGAGTGGGAGGGGCGGAAGGGGCACTCGGGAGGGAAAAAGTGAAAAAGGCTCCGCGTCCTGCGCTGCTCGCCGCTCGCCGCTCTCCAGTCGCCGCCCTCCTCCCTCAGCCCGCGCTTGGCTCCGGCTCCCACCCGCCTCAGCCCCGCGGCCGCCGCCACAGCAGCACCTCAGAGCCTGTCAACTAGGTCACGCCTCGCGCTAACCTAACACCCGCGCAGGCCCCGCCTCCCAGCCGCTAGCCAACGCCGCCTCCCATTGGCTGCACTGCCCGCCGCTCTCCACGTTCTAGCCAAGGCGCGCCCCAACTTGGGTCCCAGGGCGCAGGCGCAGGCGCAGGCTCGGGCCCGACGCGGAGGACGTTAGGGAGCTGGAGGGGCGGAGCCAGGGAGCGCAAGGGCCGGAGCTGGCCTCGCGACTGGGGCGGGGCATGAAGCTGACACCTAGGAGGAGCAGGAGGTGGACCGCGCTTTCCGCTGGCCTCTTGGAAGACTTGAGGGCGTGGCCTGTAAGGCCAGGTGAGAGAATGGGCAAAAGCCGCCTCAGGGACGTGGAGGATGTACTAGCGGGAGGTGAAAACTTGAGGGGACCGCGCTTTCCGCTGGCCTCTTGGAAGACTTGAGGGCGTGGCCTGTAAGGCCAGGTGAGAGAATGGGCAAAAGCCGCCTCAGGGACTTGGAGGATGTACTAGCGGGAGAAGGCCAAGGGTCAACACGAATTGTACCTGCTCACAACGACTGCCCCGTTGGTGAGGATTTTTACCAGTTAATCTGATGTTGTCTTCTGGGTGGGCAAATAGAAAAGGCCAAAAGAAGTGAAAGTGTTGGGAAATGGTTCCACACCGTATGCAGTTGGCTCCTCAAACTTGTAGTGAAAATCACAAATTTCATTGGAATTTTGGTGAAGTTTAGAAAGAACAAATGTAGACTGGGATACTCAAGACAGTTTTCAGAACCAAGAAGTTGCAGACAACCAAAATGTTATATTGAAAACACATCTTACATCAAAACAAATCCAAATGCTTGTTAAACAGAGCCAAATGATCTTACTTTATTCTTCCAATTGTGTAAAGTTAAGACGCGTGTCCAAAAAGCTGGCTTAATTCTGGATAATACTAACGCGACAGGTTCTGCAAATCCAGTTTCACTGAAGTCCACCACAAGAGTAGGGTGACCTATAATTTAGAAGTTTGGTACCCTCCCCCCAAATTTATTGTGATTCTATATATCAGATCATCTGCAACGCTAATTGAGTAGATATGGTAAATCCACATTTATTTGGCAATTTCGGTACTCTGTTACGTGTATTGGGCAAATAATTATTTGGAACACATTTTTTAAAAATAGAAAAGAAAGGAGGAGGCCCCAATAAGAATTGTAAAGAATGGAATATTTTTAGTAGTTGGACACTCGCCTAAGGATGATTCACAACATGGTAAGGTAATTTTTGTGTTTTGGTTTTTCTGAGACAGAGTTTCACTCTTGTCATTCAGGCTGGAGGACAATGACTCCATCTCAGGTCACTGCAACCTCCACCCGCCAGGTTCGAGCAATTCTCCTGCCTCAGCCTCCAGAGTAGCTGGAGTTACAGCCATGTGCCACCACGGCTGGCTAATTTTGTATTTTCTAGTAAACATGGGATTTCATCATGTTGGCCAGGCTGGTCTTGAACTCCTGACCTCAAGTGATCCCAAAGTGCTGGGACTACAGGCGTGAGTCACCATGCCCGGCCTGTTTTTATTTTAATGCTGTGAAATACATAAAAAATGGATTTGGGAGAAATAAAGAAGGCTTCAAGAAGGAAGTGACATTTGAGCTAGTAATAAAAATATGTACTTATTTATTTGCACTAGAAATAGAAAGAGGTCTTTGATAAGAGACATTACCAAGGAAGAATAACTAAAACCTGATAGTGAAATAGATTTTGAGAAAAAGGTGAGGAGAAAAGCATTTCATAGGATGGGTAAGGTGGCAAATAGCAATATTAATATTAAGCAATACAGGAGCAGTTGCAGATTTTGTAGGAAGGATATTGACTTCTTATATAGAAATGTGAAAAGTGCTGGGCGCAGTAGCTCAAGACTGTAATCCCAGCACTTTTGGAGGCCGAGGCAGGTGGATCACAAGATCAGGCGTTCGAGACCAGCCTGACCAACTTAGTGAAACACCATCTCTACTAAAAATAGAAAAAATTATCCAGGTGTGGTGGCAGGCATCTGTAATCCCAGCTACTCGGGAGGCTGAGGCAGGGGAATCGCTTGAACCAGGGAGGTGGAGATGGCAGTGAGTGGAGATTGTGCCACTGCACTCCAGTCTGGACAACAAGTATGAGACTCTGTCTCAAAAAAACGGTATGCAGAGGGCATTCGTTCCAGCATTTAATTTTAATCACTCTGACAAAATACCATTATCATTCAAAAGTGTTAAATATTTAACATCCCTAAAGTACCTGAAACATGCCTTGTACCAAACTGAACTCATGCTCCTTCTCCCAGTTTTCCCTGTCTCTTTGAATGACTCCATTACCCATTTAGTTGAAAAATCTAGAAACCTAAGCACCATCCCTGGTAACTCTTATAACTTCACTCTCACATCGAATGCGTTGCCATACCCATGCAATTTTATTGAGTAGTCTGTATAAGTCTGGAATCACTCTACTTTCCAATAGCATTGCAGTAAACTCAGTCTGAATCTAACTGGACTATTGCAAAGACTTCCTAAGTGGCATTCATGCCCACTTTTGCACCTCTTCTGTCCGTTGTCTACACTGCATCTAGGGATATCTGGTCATGAGTGATCACATCTTCTCACTTCTGTAAGTCATTCAATGACTTTCTGGTGGTCTGGACTATGGACTGACTTATGTGCCTCCAAAATTCATATGTTGAACCCCTAAGCTCCAATGCAACTAAATCTGGAGATAAGGTCTTAGGAAGTAATTAAGGTTAAATGAAGTCGTAACAGTGAATGAGGCTAATAGGACTGAGGCCTTATAAGAAGAAGGAGATTTCTTTCACTCTCTCCCCTCATCCCCTTTCCCTGCTATGTGAAGACACAGCAAGAAGGTAGCCAACTGCAAGCAGGAAGAAGGCCCTCACCAGAACCCTGGTCTCAGATTTCTAGCCATCAGAACAGTGAGATAATTAACTTCTGCTGTGTAAAGTCACCCAGTCTATATTAGTTTTTTGCAGTAGCCTAAGCTGACTAATACAGTCTTTTTATAACAATTAAATTATTAAGAATGGAGTGACTATCACCTACTATTCCAGCCTTATTTTATACTATGCTTCACTGCCACCCCCATTCCCCAGTCTCTGGTTCCAGCCATACCAAACCATAGAGCGTTTCATGTTCTGGAATACCACATAACCTTTTAACATGTTTGTTGCAACACTTGGGACATGATTTATTTAGCTGACCCACTCTCATTCTTCATATTACAGCTTAAACATCACTCCCTAGCAAAGCCTTCCCTGACTCTGACCCCACCTGACCTTTGTCCTGTATGCCTTCATTGATCATTGATTTTCCTGTAAAGCAGTTTCGGTTTGTTGTTGTTTTGAGATGGAGTCTCGTTCTGTCGCTCAAGCTGGAGTGCAGTGGTGTAATCTCTGCTCACTGCAACCTCCACCCCCCAGACCCCCATCCCCAGGGATTCAAGCGCTTCTCATGCCTCAGCCTCCTAAGTAGTTGGAACTACAGGCGCCTACCACCACACCTGGCTAATTTTTGTGTTTTTAGTAGAGACAGGGTTTTGCCATGTTAGCCAGCCTGGTTTCCAACTACTGGCCTCAAGTGATCCACCTGCCTCAGCCTCCCAAAAAGCTGAGATTATAGGCATGAGCCACCACGCCTGGCAGACATTAAGGATCTTGAGAAAGAAAGAGATTGTCCCAGATCATGTTGGTGGGCCCTAAATGTAATCACAAGTATCTTTAGAAGAGGAGGACAAAAGGAGATTAAACTACAGAAGCAAGTGATGACTGAGCAGAGACTGAAATGATGTGGCCACAAATCAAGGAATGCTAGCAGCCACTTAGGAGCTGAACATTTCCAGCCCAAGAATGAATTCTTCCCTGGAGCCTCCAGAAGGAGCTAGCCTTGTCTTTGATTTTAGCCCTGTAAGAATCATTTTGGAATTCTGGTCTCTAGAACTATGAGAGAATAAAATTCTGTTGTTTTAACCCATGAAGTTTGTGGTAATTTTTTTACCACAGCAATGGGAAACTAATAAAAAGAGTAAAACTGTAAATTCAAGACAGTAAAATGTCTATTTCTGAAGTAATTACCTGGACACACTGTAAAAGTTGGATATTTTTTATAGGCATAATTTCTCAACTAGCTCTGTGCCTTGGATATTTTTAATATTTATATGTTTCCCTAAATATTCATTTTGGTTTATCGTAGCTTTAAAGATATCCACTTGTGAAATGTCTGTATTATTTTTAGGTATATAAAGGCATTTTTAAACAGTCTTTGTTTGCCTTTGTTCCAGTAAATCCTCAGCAGTTTCTAACTTAAAAATAAGATAAAGGTTTTCACCCAGATTGGGAACAAAGCAGAGTTGGCCCATTGTTTCTTGTCCATCATAGCCTAGAGATGTCAGCTTAAAGGATGATGTCAGATCAATTCATGTACTTAATTGTGTTTTTACATAAGTGTAGTTCATACCTCTAGAGGCAACATAAAAATAAGAACTTCCAGCACCTCTGAACAAAGTTGAATATGTGGATACATACAAGTTGGATTTCTGGTCCCTTCATTTCATGTTAGAGAGTCGCCCCTACTTATTCTAGCCTACCCCTTATCTTCAGCCAGAAGAATAGCAGTGGATCCTTCCCACAGCCTACATTCTCCAGCAGCTGCCTTCATTCCGGCTTGAAAGGAATTCCCTGGCAGCCCATTGGCCCAAGAGTAAGGAAATGGTTGCTTAGCAACTGACTCCTGCACCCCCCACAGCCCTGAGAAGAGGAGCTCTTGGGCCAACCACCTAGTTTCTGCCTGTGCTACATTGAAGAGGAGCTGCTTGAGAGAAGATGAAGCCCTTGTCTCTGTTAATAGGGATATTGATAATTCTTGGGGTCACAATTAAAAGTAAGTCTTTTGTCCTTACAGTTCTTTATAAGGGTCTTTTCTCGTTGCTCAAATAGCAGTAAGGGCAGAAGCCAATTAAAAGATTAGAAGTAACTTTACTATATCCCTAACACCATGTTTGTACAAGTACTTTAAAATGTCCAGTAAGAAGAATAGATGGTAATGATACTCTCACTTGGGACAATGCATAGGAAGGGTCGGGGGAATGGGAACAGAACAAACCTCTGAGAAAAGCA